ACACAATGTCAGCTCCAGTATGGTTGGCTAGTTTTCAAAATCATACTTCCGTTCAAAACTGGTCTCTTCACTGGATGATTGTTCACAGTGAGTACAAGAAATACCTGTGGGTTGCGTGTGCTGCAACGTAAATTTGGTAACACATCCCAGTTTGTTTGCTACCTAAGTTTGTTAATACACACATGTTTCATGAGTATTCTTCATCAAACCTGATAAGTCAAGTGGTATGTTGGACTAAACGCACGGTTTGCACTGGCAGCTTTTGCTGATTCGTGATGATATTGAGGGAAAGCCGTTCTAATTTTATATGCAGTGCACCGACCATGCTGCTATCTACTTGCCACCCGATTGGTCGAGAGACACACATGAATTGAACTACTTCACTGAAGAAAATTCAGCTCACTACTCCAGGAAACCTGGGAAACGTGTTACTCCTGAGGCGAATCAGTTGCAGAAGGGTGTAAATGTGCCCCTTGTGCACGCGATTCGAGCCGTTTTTTCTTATTCGCCAGTACTGGAAATATAGTTTTGGTGACCCTAATGCCATGAGAAACGATTTGTTTGGACTGAATGTAGAGTACTGTTTACAGAACTCCTACAGTGCTTAGATTTCTCTATTTTTAGAATGATTATATATATGGATGAGCTTGCAATAATAATCCGGTTCTGTCAGGGAAAGATGAATCTCAAACCAGTAAATTTCTCATAATTAAGTCGATGAGTATGGCCTACCCTTCATATTTTAGGACAGCAAGCTAAACTCTATGGTGAGTACTTTTCCCCATTATGTTGCAATCTTTCCGTTATCTGGTGTACGTGGTGAGCAAGATATTCCTACACAAAACTGCAGTATATCAAAGTTTAACATTCATCGTGGTTGAAGTTCCGATTAATTGAAAATCTGGAAAATGCGGCCCCCAACCAATAGGGTTCGAGCTTTATAAATACATATGAGAACAATCAGAACGCGTCGCTGAACACTATCGTGACGATACAAGGCCTTCCACATTTGAGTGAAGTCTTCTGTATCACTGGAAGAAATTTTTTAACGCCACAGAAAAAAAACGAACTTATCTGATCGCCTTTGGTAAACATATACGCAAAAGGAATTCGTTCAGGGCCTATCACTGCCTTTTCCGAGAAATTTCGATTAGATGCCATCAATTCTTGTGTTTAAACCGATGAAGTCCCTGGTCTTCAACGCGATTCATCATCAAAAATCGATCGACAACAGTGTTAGAATTTTAGAATTTGGACAGCAGAGGAAATGTTTTGAATTGTACCGTTCATTTTAACCATTAAAGTCAATAGGTCCCTTAATTCGCCCGAGAAAACCTCCCACGAAAAGTATCATCGTTGTAAAAACTTTTTAAAACTTTATAATCCCGTCCTGAGAAAGAAAACATCGAAAGGACTACTTATTAAAGCATTTTTGGTCGTTAAATAATCCACTTTTCCTTCACTAAGGAATGAAATCTCTTCACTTTTGTAACCCTGACACTGAGCTGTGAATTAATTATCACTTCAAGAAGTTTACCTTGTGAATACAGTTCATCTATCTATCCAAGTGCCTTCAACAGCTTCCTTGACAGCCGGTAGATTATCTTCTTTCTGAAATTCACCCTTCAACTCATCACCTTTTAACATCACTTTTTCACACGTGATTGCGCACGTAAAACCCTGAAAACTTGCGTGACGACTATTTATTCCCACCATCCAAGTTACTAGTGACTGGTGGCTTGTTTTCGACTGCAGAGAACTTGAGTAGAGACTGCAAACACCGGAAGTCATGGCGAAGGTGTAATGTTCCACTAAGTTATCAGGCATATCTTCAATCGGTCATCCGACCATATTGTCTTCGGTTGGTCAGTCAACTGTTGGTGTCTCCGACCAATGAAACTGTGTACTATGCTGAATGATCGGCCGGACCAAACCAAATCTGGCGAAAATATTTCAAATGTACTTTTGATCCATAGATGAGCTGTGCGCCCTACACATTCCCCAAAATCACTGAACATATGTTTTTTTCCTTTTCTATCCCCGCCCAACTTTGCACTTTTATCACCTATCATTGACGTTCTCATCCAAATTCCCCTCTAAAATCAATAGTCAATGCCCCCAGCCGGAAAATGCACCCGGCGGGGAATCAAAACCCCAATAACGTTTTGCCATACTCTACTGTTAAATACCAGAGCCAAAGACTCCCTAAGTGAACCGAAAGTGCACTCAAAGTATCTCTTGCAGCTATCTACATGGGATAGGGAGCCCTGTCTTATGATAAGCTGATTCTGGCAGTTTCATGTTAGGTCTTTCGTCGCGATGACCTATAAAGAAGGTATAATAGTGTGTCGAATTTCTTTATGTATGGCTAGTCCAGCGGTCTTAGGAGTCGGTCACCTGCTGCTTAAATCCAACATTTTTTCCGGTGCTGTGGAGTCTCATTCACGATTGATTATTTATCACCGTTTTTAGAGCTGAACCTAAGGCGCGATCAACTAACCTTTCATACCGGCCTCTGGAAGGAGCTGGAAGGCCTTGTGAACACTGAAAACATGATGTGTCACTTAGTAAGTTTTTTTCCGTTTTACTCCAGTTTGCCGTATTTTTACGTGAACACAAGTAACTGAGTGATACATATCTGAAACATTGACTTTCTATTCTCACCAAAGACGATAACTGCTTATCCTGTTTGACGCAGTGCGCTTCGAAATGTGGAGGTGTATAAACGCTCAGTGTTGGTCTGGTGTTAGCAATGTTGTGGAATGTCTGTTGTCTCCATCTTGAAAAGAACCTGAAGAATCGCCGGATGAAACACTCGTGTGACCGGCCAAAAACGTTATTTTCTCCAGGGAAACCTCTCCAAATAAAGGCCGCGTCCTTTCAGTGACGTCAGCCTATGCTGAAAAGCCGAGAAGCACCGCACAGCTGTTTCATCCTTGCTGGGGACCGTCAGCTGTAAGCATCTCATCAAGCTCAAGGAGTCTCAAGCCCTCAACCTCTAGGTTAGTAGTTTAAACAAGACCATTCGGCCACGAATGGCTGAAGACAGGACATGGCGCCAATTATCCTCCATTAACGGAAACCATACAACGTATTGAATGGCTCCTTTGGTGTCTTTTTCCCAGAAGGGACTTTATACATCTTGCGAAATCATTATTCTCCTTAGTGAAAGTTGATCACACTGCTCATCAGCCGCTCGTGGTCAAACTGTTCAGTGTTCAACCCCTAACCTGCAGGCCGTGGGTTCAAAACACTTTGAGTTTCATGAGATGCACGCTGCTGATGATGATTCCAAACAAGGATGAAACGGGTACAAAGTACATTTCGGTTTTTTTAGCATGCACCGGCTTCACTGATAAAATCTCTATTACCAAACACCGAATCCCCTCAGACCACTAAATCTTTAAATAGGCTTGTCTTTCGTTGGATTGAATATATGTAAAACACTTGTACAAATTCATCCCAAAACACATCTGTTTCTCAAGCTCATTAGCCATGCGCACGATGCCAAAGTGGTGTATAAAATACACACCACTTTGGCATCGTTGCATGAAAAATAAAATACACACCACTTTGGCATCGTTTGCATGAAAAAGGCTGACGGGAACTCGGGGATTTCACTAACATGAATGACCTGAAAAAGGACAGAACCAATAATGGATTTTTCAGGAGTTTCCCTAAAAGAAATGCCTGTAATTTCTGAATGCCGTTCGATACATGAGAAAACTACCAGCGGGTGATCCATACAAGTGAGACAGGGATAAAGCGAAGCCTTCGGGTAAAAGTTTGAAAACTGTTTACGTCGGGATCAATTTGCTTAAGTAGCCAGCGTTCACGAGAGCAGAGCATGGAAAACTCAATGTGCTTTCTGAGCGCACAGACTCGGGTTGCACGAGCTAATCTCGACTGCTTCAACTATGGCCAGGCATGAACAGTGAACGGATCCCGGTACGATATTCAGAATTAGTCACGTTATCCATATCAACCGAGTGAGAAACGACTGCGCATGTAATCTGTTTGTCAGCCAAACTGGGTTAGCCCTTTATTCACCTGAATAAACACCGTATCCTGGGCACTATCTGTTCTGTTGTACAACAGTATTTGGGGTAGACTAACATTCTTCGGGCTTGGACCGGAAGCTAACCTTTTATATGTAGAGGCATTAGCTAAGTAACTGTGATCCACATTTTGGATGAAGCAGCAGATATTTTTGCGAATTTTGTATTGTGAACGCCAAAATCAGGTAATTTGTGACCCGATCTCGATTCGAAGGACGACTGATTAAGACAAGTGTCCTTTCGGCTCCAATCTGTTTGACTGTCTCAGTTGTCTCAGTTGAGAATAATCTGTCCAGATAACCATAATCACGAAGCATGCTAGTTAGAGACTGATGTCTAGCTCTGAGTTCCTTTTAGAGCAAAGTTTTCTCATCCTGTCAACAAGACACCGAAACAAATTTCGTTTCTGTTTCAGTAGGACAATTGGATTAATTTGGTGTACCGCCTCTTCTAAGATGGTCTCCAATATACGAAACATTAAATAGGACTTTTAGTTAGTCTTAGCTACTACGTAACTGCGGTCGGTCCAATTACCATCGAAGAGTTTCGAACAAACAGATCACAGGGAAAATGCATGATGTGTATGACTTCCAAAAGTTGATTTTTGGCCTGCAAAACGTCGTACAAAGTGATTTATTTAGGGAGAATACACCGGTATGAATAACCTTGTCAAAGAAAGTCGCCATCTACCTTGTGGGGTTTTGTCCTAACAGGATTTCTCAGGAGGGAGATCACTAAATGTTCGCACACAGTAAGTGTAATGCGCAAGACGCACATATACATATGGGGTTGGGGAAGCGAGTGAAGACTTTGACTTTCATATAAGGATGAACTCCGGGTTTCCCCAGAAACACAATGCAGCGAATTTCTAACTCCTCATAAGAATTTTTATCAGTGTGCCATTGGACAATAAATCCGTTGTGTACTTCGTTCCGTTTCTAGTTAACACAACATTTGCAATCAAACTGGCCGACCCACTGCATGGACGCTCTCATATGTACCGCCAGAATAACCGATGGAATAGGAGGCAACCATGCATCGGTGACCTTGTGGTTGATTGTCACCGAAGCCAAAGACGCCTGTCCAACCAGTATGGATCCAATTGAGGAAAGCATAGCGGAAGCTCTCCGCTCGGATGATAAAGAATGGACGGTGTATAAATGTAGGTACAGTGGTTTTTCAATGGAGATTCCTAATGGGATTCATTCTTGGCGGTCCCTTCTCAAGAGGGCATTCCCTATCTGGGAAACTCAATGGTGGGCATTTGAGTCAGCTAATTAGTTTTGGACCTGTTTGACGTGCAATTCAATCATATTGAGAGGTGTTTATTATTACGACATTAGGCAACATATTGTAAGACATTTTTTGTTTAAACCGAAAATCCCCCCTATTTTTGTGGTCATTTAGCGGGATACCACCCCGTTTGCCTGGCCACTTGCGACGCTTGGAACTAGGTTTCATAGCAAGTTCTGTCTCCTAAAACGTTTCTGATAGACCATTTGGCAGTTACTGAACAAAGCCAAAGAGATCTTATTCCTTTTCGGGAAGAGTCGGTAAATAATCGGCGGGTCCAAAAAGCAGCATGTGTTTAGTCCTGTAAAGCCATCCACTACGCACTTCTTCAAGGTTTAGTCCGTCTAGTGCATGCAGTAGAATCGGCTGCGTATCCGTCTGGTTTCCAGTCCAACAGTTTATCAGGTACTTGAATGCAAGCTCAATATGCTTAGTGAAAGGAAGAAAGCCTACGCCATGGAGTTATCCATTGGTAAACACCAACTGGACAGTTACAGACTATTGGACGGGGAAGAAAAACTCTCATATGCATCTTGTTTATAAAAACTGAATAACCGTCTTGTTCTCGAACGCGTCTACCTCAACTATCCTGGATACTCATTGACTATCACTCATATGTAAGCGACTGCCACAAAGCAATTCCACAAATTCCTCAATTAACCTCACTTTTCAACAGACGCGAAGCGGGTTTATGAGAAAACCACATACTACCCGCACATCTCATCAGTAGCATCCATCGTTACATTAGTAATTACCAAGTTTTCCAAGAGGATGTCGTGAAAAGTTAATAGTAACACTAAAATTCTTTCAAGTAGGTAATGCTTCTGACAAATTCTAGTGCAAAAAATAATTGGAGAGATCTTTTAAGGTCGGTAGATCTATCATCGCACGACTTTTTGACTAGGTTGTTGGGCTCACCGATCTGACCAACCAGATCTCATCCCACGAACTGTGGGGTGACGTTTTTCCGCAGCAAACTTTAACATGCAACTGTGAATAATTCGCTCTGTTTTCTTCGTTGGCGACAGAGAAAACCCGGTTGATGCTTTTTGTACTTCACATTAAGCCTGGTTAGGTAACTTTATCTATTCGAATATATGTGGTAGCAGTTATTGTCGACATTTCCAGATCAGACGTAGGCAAATCAAATCAACATTATGAGTAATCTGAAAAAACTTTCATTGTTTTTAGCTAAAGGCCATATACAACGTTACAGTGAGTTTTTGTTTGCTGCTAAATATACTTCATACCTGTTCTCTGTGCGATAGATCCATTGCGTCGTGTTGTACAAGATATTAAACAAAATCATGTTGGAACTCCACTGATCCAGCACAAGTGTCGTCAATTTACCTCAGACAATGTTGATAGTTTACAGTCAGCTGGAAAGCTTGAGTTATACGCATTCAACTTTCTGCCTTTATAAATCTTCACATAGTGTGCGACTGCAGAATGGTAGAAAAGGTGTTGCAGCAGAACTCGATATCTGACCTCGTTTTTTGCCTCACCCTGATTACCGACTGACCAGAATTTATCATACTTCACGCCCGCATCAACAAAGCTATTCAAATGCCACTTCATTATCGGATTGTACGAGTACACAGATTTCGTACAAACCCATCAACGTTTCACTAGGTACAGTTTTGAATAAAAACCGAAAAGCACCGCGACCAAGTCAGGTGGCATTGGGTTGGTTGCTGCTAATCGCACCAAGCTTGTTTTCACGTGCAGTTCACACACCTAAACCGGAAAACGACCCGCTATAAAATAAATTTTCTCCTTCATCCAGCTAGGTATGTTTTACTACGTAGTACTTGCTGTGTGAACCTCAGCAGGCTTATTGTTGATAGTGTGTTAGATACCGACAGCTGGGGTGCACCAGTCAGCTACTGACATAAACACGATCTAGATACAAAATACCACCAAGACTTGAAACGCTATGTTGTTACAAGGCCATAAACGAAGAAGCTTACGCTGTTGTGTTCAGGACATGCGTAGCACTGGATATCTCGCTAGTGTTCGCAACTCCTCACGTAGCGTTCACAATGCCTTTCCAGGCATCCTCCAACGAGCAAATATGAAATGTGACTTGGTTAACTCTATGAGAGGTGGATCTACGAAAACTATAGATGCATCAAAGTACTGTTTTTAGTAAGAGTAACAGCCTATCCAGGGAGTAGAGTTTTTCGGTCTATCATCAGGGGACACGCTAGAATACAACACGTCTGGTGGAACTATCCACAGTGGTGAGCTACATACGGAAGGGCCTTTTTCAAGGAAACCGATCTGTTCGTCGTCCAAATTTCACATCGGATTATGACGTAAATATACTGCAAACAAGTCACTCACATGCCCAAATGATCTACTCACTAGTCAAGTGAAAAATCTACTTCAAAATCTTTGGGCTAAACCAGAGCTGATCTCGCTAGCTTTGCAGATTGGAAGGCCATGGTTTAACCTCTTATTGGGATCACTTTTGAACGCCTCTTTAAGAACACATCTCAATTCTTGGACCTCTCGTGGGTATCATTTGATGAAAAAACACTCGCAAAATATATGGTACTTAGCAGTTTGCGCACTCTTGCCATTTCCTTTGAAATACTGCATTCTTAGAATACCTCGGTAATCTGTAGACACGGTAGGAAACCCAAAGAGCAAATACTGGTGAAAGGAAGGCCTTTGCTGCAGAGTTGTTTGGTAGAAAACGCCAAGTGAACAGTTACACACTATTGAACAGGGAAGCAAAACTCTCAAATGCATCTTGTTTACAGAAACTGAATATCCATCTCCTCCTTGAGCGCGTCTTCCTGAGCTTTCCTGGATATCCACTGGCTGCTACTCAAATGCAAGCAAATGCGATTCCACAAGTTCCGTAATAGGTCTCACTTTTCAAGAAACGTGAAGCGGATTCACGAGAATACATACTACTCGCATGCCCCTCATTAGTAGCATCCACCGTTGCACTGGCACCTAACGAACCGTTCTTTGAGGCAAAACTGTTTTGCTTACTATCGACCCCATCAATAAGCTAATCAAGACCGAAGAAGTTTCGTCAGAAGGAAACAATGCAAAGAGTGATGTACGACATCAACACATGAATAATGTTTGATTCTTGCTGTGGGCATTTTATTATGAACACAGCCGGTACACATAACATCCACGGAAAGGAAACATTTCTGACTGGAGTACACTTGGCTTAAGGGATATTTTGTGGTTGGGTGTGCATATAGCAGCGCTAACTAACTGTCCCAAGCATCGATTGATCTTAATATAGCTCAAGGATAGGATGAATTTTCACACGACCTATCAATAGGTATTGAGTTCTCAGTGTGTGCCATTATATCTGTTTCTACAAAGTGACAGATAATGTGGATGATCTACAGTGCTTGATGGTTTTTACTTGATCTAGGTGAAAGGTGATTAATACTATGGGTCTCAATGACTTAGACTAGTCGCTACAAGAACCTTACTGTCAAGTCTTCCTTTTTGTCTCAAGAATGTTGCTTCACATACAGCATCTGTTGTTATCATTTATAAAGTTTTTAGGATAGCATAACAAACTCACGCAACGTGAAACCTATCAAAATCCGGAAAGGTAAGAATAAACATTTGTTTCTTCCGCAACGTTTCAAGTATCCACTGTCGAACTGAAAATTAAAAAGCAACAGGCATATGAAACGGGAAACGATCTGGTCCAACAGTTATCGTCAGCGCTGACATCCACTTTGAATCTACAAGTGAGTCAAACCAAACGAGAATTTACTCACATTTGGATTCATGTTTTGTTCAATATACCATCACAATGAGTTCCGTTTATGCTTCCCGTTGATAGCAAAGGAATATGGATTTTGTGTGCTTTTTGGTTTGCACTCTCCGGTTTGTTCGGTGGGCAGGCTAGTAAACAGTCGTGAAACAAAGTAAGAAAATACTTTGCATCAGGAATTCGTTTTACTCTAAAACGAATAGCATGGTCTCATCCAATGCGTTCTAATGAAGGGTTACTAAAATCTTATTTAGTTTTACCGGCTAAATTTTTTTCTCGACAGAGTGCTTCCTCTCATCAAATCAAGCGTGCTCTCTGTGCAGTACGCCGACTACATCGAACACCTCCAAAACCCCGTTTAACTGCTGTTGGTTAAGCATAACAAGTGTTCATCATGGCCTGCCAGGAAGAGTTTGCCTCCTTGCAGATTCTAAGGAAATGACCGATTTTATATGAGATAAGACAACCGCTATAGACGGACCTCATCAGTGCGGTCCAGGTGTGCATGTATGCCGTGTTACAGCAAACTACTGGAAGGGAGATTTATTACGGCCTCATTACGCAATCTAAGTATTTCGCTCAAGACAGTTGTCTCACAGGGAGAAATTATTACTGCACAAACAACTGCCAGTTTCGCAATACACAAGGAATATGACGCTATTGAAACTGATGACTGACAAGACAGTATTGCGGCCCCCCCCCCCCCCCCCCCGAACAAAAATCACTTACCAGAAATGGCTTTAGTTTGAAGAAGGCTGTCTTTCCTAGTAAACAGTACTCCATATTAATATAACGGGCAAAAAATTGTGAACCTATCTCAACTATGGATAATAATGCAATAACATGTTGAGTTTACAGCAGTTTAACATATGCGATTAGACTAGTTCTCTCTTCAGGGACATTATCACCATGAGAAAATTTCGGATAGATCATTTAAGAACCTAACACTCCACAAACACCAAACACAATGCTTATGTGGACTATTTTCTGGGTCCAAGTTTATATGTAAACTAATTTTAAATAGTTTTACGTGCAGAAATTAAAAACTGTTTGCATATTCTTACATAAAAAGCGGTTTTTATGCGGACATTGTGTTAATGCAACGAGGTTTTG